ACCCTAAACCCTAAACCGTATGGGAAGGCCCCCCAAAAGCCGTGGTTTTTCGGAGTTCACCACGAGGCCGAAGTTGAAACAGTCATCGCTTCAAAGCGCGGGAGCCTGGAAATTCAAGCTGCAAAGAGAGAGTTTGGGTTTAGAGCTTAGGGTTTAGAGTTTAGGGCAAGTTTAGGGTTTACAGTTTAGGGTTCAGAGTTTAGGGTTCAGGGTTTAGGGTTTAAGGTTTAGGGTTTAGGGTTTAGGGTTTAAGGTTTAGGGTTTAGGGTTTAGAGTTTGGGTTCACCCATAGGCCCCATAGTAGTTCCTTTTTGTGGGTTTGCATTTAGGATCCTATTAGGCAATCCCAAAAAGGAGCTACTATGGGGCCTATGGGTAGAGTTTAGGGGTTGAGGGAATGCCTGGGCGGGAGAGAGAGATAGAGAGAGAGAGAGAGGGACAGGGTTCCCCCCCGCATAGTTGCACCGAGTCTGCTGCAGGACAAGGCGGGCTTTGGTGTAACGAGCTTCTCACTTGGGGACGAGGATGTTTTAGAGTGGCTTGGGATTTCCGCACTGAGGCTAAACCCCAAAACCATCAACTTTACTTAAACCCTAAACCATAAACTCCTAAACCCCCAAACCCTAAAATGGAGCAGCCGTCAAAGCCCGCCGACAGGTCTTCAGGTGATCGGCGAGATCACGGCTTCTCCTGAGTTTCGTTCTCGCTGTGCGGAGGCCGCAGCAGAGGACCCCAGTAGGTACCTGTACATGACTCCTCAGGGATCCTTATAGAAGTACAAAGGATTCCTAAGGAAGAATGTGTTATAACTATAGTATAAGATACCTCCCCAAACCCTATTTTGATGTTGAAGCCCCCCTACATTCAGCCTGTAATTCCTGGCTTGTTGATCGTTGGTATAAAGCCATGTAGGGCCTTAAAGTCGTTTAAAACGTTTAGCTCCGAGGTCCGAGGCCCTATCCTAGCTGCCAGCACGCTTTTGAAACCCTACATCATGCGATGGTGTCTTATTTTACCGTTTTTCAAGCTATCAAGGTCGGTGTAGCACCGCCTAGAAACCCTGTGTAGCCTACTTTGCAAGGCAGCTACATTATCTGATCTGGAAGGCTCCTCCCGCAGCTTTTGCGCCAGAGATGCTCGCAGGCCACTGTCGGCTTGGGCTTGGCCGTTCCAGACTTTACCTGGCTGTTCTTTAGGAATTGTGGTCACATTTGTTACATCATTTGTACATGGTCTTTTCATTTGGGCTCAGCGGGCTTATTGTCTAGTGGTGGTGTGTTCTAGATTCTAGACGTCAAGCACGAATAAGGTTTGCAGTGCCCAAACACATGCGTTATGGAAGTTGGGAGGCCGATGAATGCTACCAGTATCTCCCTGCCTGACATCGTCGAGAGAAACCTGCCCAAACCGCCCGGAACCCTATATGCTCTTGACAGCTCAAGCCTTATACTCCTCCTCTGAGCTAAACAGAGAGAGCCCCAGTAGGACATGTTGATTCGATTTCGGAAGGGTTTTCCGGGCGCAAGAAGCGCTACGAGTGGAACTATAAGCTGTTCGATCATTTCTTCGCGGGGGCCGGAACAAAAGATATCAAACATAAGATCCTGGACTCTGCCGCAAATGGAGAGTGGCGGGCTCGCGTTTTGAATATCTGGCATCGCAGCGGGAGTGACGTGGGAGTGACGTTGTTCAGTCTGTGCCCCATGCAGCGCAGTTGAACATTCTGCAACCTTTCGCCAAGAAATCGCATTCCTGGCGGGCTGACGTTTCAAGGTTGTTCCGCGTGCAGGCCTTGCGGGGCTTTTGAAAAATACATCATGGGATGGGAGATCATGCTATATTTTGCGTAATCTTATAAACCCTCAGCCTAAACCCTAAACCCTGGACCCGAGCCCCTGAACCTTCAGGTTTGGCCGACGCCTCGCCAGATGCCTCGCCTGCTTCCGACGCGGCGCCGAGTCCTGCGTCGCCGGAACCTGCAGAGGTCAAAGGGTTGTTCCTTTTGGGTTTCGGGTCTTGGGTTTAGGGTTTGTAGTTCATAAGGCTGAGAGGGCTCACAGAGTTTAGGGGTTCAGGGCTTATAGGGTTTGGGATTTCAGGCTCAGGGTAAAGGGCCTTGGGAACGGCCGACTGGATCTATTGGGGTATCGGTGAGTGTGCACTTTCGGTGGTCGCGCGGGCTTTAATGTCTTAGTCGCAACAATTGCCTTTTTTCTTACACATCGTAGGGGAAGGCCACGCCTCGGACGCTGGCAGGAGTTCGCATACTCCAGGGGCCAGCATGAAACCGACGGATTGCAGGGATCTATCGCACAGATGGGCATGTAAGAGTAGGAACTTGAACCATATGCCTGTATGCCTTCACTTGGCGCAGAACATGTGTGCGGTTTCGTTGAATAGTCTTCCCTTCAATACCGCTCCAGTGCGCCGGAGTTCTCCATGTAGGCTCTCCCTCCGCCGGCGCCGGCAGCAGGCACAGGGGACATGTGGGTGGTTGTCAAAATTATGGTCCCTGTTTGGGTCCTTATTATAATATGGCACCTAATATTTAGGGTACCCCAAAAGGGACCATAATTTTCACAACTACCCACGTGGCTACGCAACAGCATGTTGCACTAAAGGTTTTTCCTTTGCGGGGCCGTCGGGTTGTAAAAAGACGGTTCATCGAAGACCGTGCGGGGTACTGTAGGACTCTGGTGGAGGATCTATCGTCTGGAATGTGTCTGCACTTTATCTCGTGACGATGATGCTTGGGGTGAAGGCGTGCTTTGCGGCACGCTTCGATCTTGATCTTCTCCACATGTCTGCAATCACGCTCGGGCCACCGCTGCCAAGATACACTCCAGGCGCTCGCGTGTGGCTGCCCATGGTCGCCCATCATTGTTTTCTAGAGTCGAACGCCGGCTTTAGAGTCGAACGCCGGAGATTCCCTAGCCGACTTGCTAACGGTGACAAGCAGTCACCACGCGCTCTGAACAAAAAAGGGTGTTGGATTCATGCCGGAATAATGCAGACAGAGAATCGGCTCCGGTTTTTCGCGAGGACCGAAAGCGCCAACATCCCATCCCATCTTCCTGCACAGGTTCCACTCCGGCGGTGGAGGCGGATGTGGAGGACCTGCCACAGGCCGCTCCCAGGGGGTTGGGGCCCGACTGAAAATCCCTCTTCCTTCGCCCCATCGTCAGGCTCCTGCTGCATGGCGGTGAGTTTCCTGAACCGCCTAAACCCTCAACCCCAAATGCCACCATGGGCACCTAATTTACTTTGTTCCTCGTCTGCAGACGGCCTTGTGCCTCGCACCCCAGACGCGACAAGCTGAAAGTTGAAAGGGCAACGAACCTTGTAGGAATCCCTGTCTCGAAGGAACCATGAGAGGAACCCTTACAGAAATCCTTAGATAAAGAAACCCGTATAGACATCCTTTTTAGGGAACCCCCAGAAATCCTGAAAGGAACCCTTATACAAATCCTTAGAGGAATCCTTATGAGTTAAAGTCACCCTTATCGGAATCCTTGGCGGAAGCCAACCGTGAGAGGCCCGCTTGGAGGCCAAAAACCGTGATGAGATGCTCTGCTGCAAAGATCTTTGTTTCTGCAAGCATACTATAGGGCTTCGTCTTAGGATCAGAGCCTGGGTTCGATAGAGGTTTAGAGAGTATAGCAGGTAAGCACAGGTAGCTGACCCTTAGCAGTCTGTCTTTGTCTACATCATGGTGAGCCAGGGGAGAGAGCGAGAGAGAGAGAGAGAGACAGACATACCGAGAGAGAGGAGACTGCGGTGAAGCGGCTTAGGGAGCTAGAGGGCATGGAGTTCCCTCCCATTTCGCGTTGCCAAAACCACATGCTTGGAGGTGAGGCAGCCCGCAAGGCTTGCTAAGCTAAGGGAGTGTGATAACCACGGAGTCGGGTGAAGCGCGCTACAGCGCGCGACTTGCCCCTGGAAAGCTGTATACTGTGTTCTTCCTTTCCAGTTGTAAAACATCAGTCTGGTTTCGCCGCTGGTGCCCCACCTTCAGTACAGCTAGTTTCGCTTGTGCATTAGCGCTTGGGATACTTCCACCCTCCATGCTGAAAAGGCTGAGAGGGTCGGGCGCACAAGTGCCAGAGTCAGTCCCCCATGCATATCCTCGGAGAGAAATGTCGAAAAAGAGACAAGAGAGCGAGAGAGAGAGAGAGAGAGAGAGACGCGGAAAACGAGAGATAATGGGAGCGAAGCGAGAAATTATCGCAGACACCGCCGGGAGCGCTCGAGCATCTCATGATCGGCGCAAAACCCTAAACCCTAAACCCTCAAACCCTAAAACCCTGCAAACCCTACAAACCCTAATATAACCCCCTGTTGATCAGAAGAACAGCCGAGGATCGCCTATCCTAAGAAAGGGCGGGAGTGCTCGCAGGACCGATGCGGCTTTGGGTTAGAGTCTTAGAGCTTGAGCTTCGGTTTTGTTCAGGGTTGAGGTTCTAGGATTTGAGAAAGCCTAAACCCCAAAGCCTAAGCCCTCTTCAGAGGTAAGAGCTTTAGGCTTCGGAGCCGTTCCTGCAGAGTTCGGGCTTTGCGGCGTTGCCCTTGCCGGAGCCCCAAGTTACATGTCTTCTTAGAGCTCCAGAACCTGATTTGCTTTTAGAAAGGCAGGCTTTCTTTTGTGGGGGTCAGGGTTTTACTGGGGCTGAGTTCGAAGCTTTGAGGTCCCTGTAGATTCACTACGCCGCAACCTAAGCATGAGCTCGATGCGCGATGATCCGGCTTCGATTGGGGGGAGGGTGCCGGACCAGGCATTCGAATAGGCCCAACAGTGGCACTGACAGGTCGTAGTATTTCTGAACGGCTGCCTTGGGGATACTTGGGGCTCTGAGCCTGTTGCGAGGAGGAAGAAGATCGATTCTACGAGCTCCTTTTCGCCGCAGTCTTCTGGCTGGAGGTTAGTGCGAGGTGGTCGGATAGTATCACGCCTTCAGATGCCAGCAAAGCCGACCTGTGTCAAGGAAGGATTGCAGGTTTCAGAGGAAGTGGTCTGGGTTCGTTCTCATGCTTCCGTAGGCCACTCTAGATGCCGTGATGCATGCCTGAAAGAAGGGACCATTCGGGCGTATTTTGCACATGGCTATGTTCGTCACTTCGGCGGGTGGACATGAACTCGACTGTTGGCAGGGATTATGCCATGTATGCGTGCATGCATGCATCAGTGTTGAGTGACCATCGGCTTCCATCGCGCAGTTTTGGGCTTACACCAAGCTGGTTACAGCGTGTCGAGCACCCCCCACGGTCTTAGGACGCGCTGTGTCCAGACCCACTAGCTGTCACTAGCTGCTGCGGTTGCAGCGTGGTGTCACGAATGCGTGGAGTGCTGTAAGTAGCACAACGGCTTTTTCAGAGCCATCGTTGCCATCGCTGTTGCCGTTGCTTGCATCGCTGCGCCGGTGTTCAGTGACGTCGATATATTACTGTTCCTTGCTGTTCTTCAGTGCGGCCGTGTTTTTTTGCGATCCCCTTCAGCCCAATCCAACCACGGCTGCGGCTACTGTTTCTTTGGTGCCTCGTATTCTTGTTGTGTTTGACTTGATGTTGGTGTAGATGTGGTTGTTGTGGTTGTAATGGTTGTTGTGGTTGTTGTGGTTGTGGCTGTTGCTGTTGCTGTTGCTGTTGCTGTTGCTGTTGCTGTTGCTGCCCTTGTTGTTGCTGCTGTTGTTGTTGTTGTTGTGGTTGTCGTTGTCGTTGTCGTTGTCGTTGTCGTTGTCGTTGTCGTTGTCGTCGTTGTTGTCGTTGTTGTCGTCGTCGTCGTCGTTGTTGTTGTTGCTGTTGTTGTTGTTGTTGTTGGTATTGTTATTGTTCTTGTTATTGTTATTGTTCTTGTTCTTGTTCTTGTTCTTGTTCTTGTTCTTGTTCTTGTTCTTGTTGCTGCTG